CTGTCTGTTACTTAGTATAATATATTAGTTATAATTTTTTATACTCTCGTTAATTTCAATTAATTCTTTTTTAAGATCTTGTTCATATATGAGCCACCTCTTTGAAATTCGAGGCAAAAATTCCTTTTTGTTCTCCGTTTTATTTTCACGCTTTTGAGATATTTTAATGAATAAATATCTTGCTAAAATGTCAAAAAAATACAATCACATGGTTAAAAAAAATGTTAGGCGAAAAAGCACTGCCCTGTTGACACGCAGAGGAAAAATAAAGGTTAATTATAAGCTAAATGAGAGAGAAAACAAACCAGGTCAAATTACACTTGGGTAATTAACAAAACACCGCTATTCTATTTGTCGAATTTTAACGAGGTGTCTACAAGCGACATATCTACGAGCGGCACGTGTTATAGCTCATTTGTATGGATGGAAGCATATAAATCATCGTGTACGATATCGTAACATACAATCGGAGAATGCTTAAATCAATTTCGATGTACAATTAGCTCGATTCTCTCGTATTGTACAATACTGATAGCTTTACTGATAACCGTGCAGTATTTGAAAGCCGAAAAAAACCGTTTTCTCGTAACAACATGGCGCGGTGTAATCGAAGCATTGCGCGCCATTAAATTTTCTATATGAATTATTCCTTCATAAATGACCAAATTTTAAACAAATATTGCTAGTTATTCATTACGGGACATATTTTAAATTCTGGTATTAATTATCTGCGCGCTTAAATTTCATATCTTAATGTATATTTATTGCATGGATATTGATATATCCGTGAGATGCCGCACGGCGTCTTATAGCAGTTTATTTCAATTCTCAAAGTACCAATTTTAAATTCGACGTCTTAAAAGTCTTAAAAGTCGGTATGCAAGTGGGCCCTTATATTACTAAATAGTCGGATAAGAGTTAAACGCATGCCATCACTTTCGTCACAGCATTCTATTGTAGTAGAGTTTTTATAAAGTACGAACTTGCAATGTCAAACTTTGAAATGATCCTCTGAGAAGTAGCAAAGAAGAAGCATAAGAGCGTTTTTATGTCATTGATGAGAATGTGCAGAAAGTCTCAGAATTATCAAAATTGACACATATGGCGGTTATTTTGGGTGAAATTCAAAGACAATTCTTCCTTCGTAAAAATGTCAACACGCATAATAATTAGTTCAGTAATTATTCATAGTAATTAATTCCATATTAAAATTTTCGCACAAAGTCTACTGCAAGATTAAATTTAATTCGTTTGATTTTGAATTTTTCATAATTCAAGAATAATATCTCAATAACATGTTTGTTAACAAGAATTAATGCGGAATTTTAAGAAGAGACGTGTATACGTAAAGAACACTTTTGCTGAAAGATCTAAAAATTGTGTAGATGCCGATTTGAAAATAAAGTTTATTGGACAACTAAAATTTATCAATAGAGCACTCGATCTTTTTCATATAGCAGTAAAAAGTTTTGACGATCTATCAATGAAGATCGAGTGCTCTATATTAATAAATTTTGAATGTACAACAAAATTTATTTTCTAATCTGTACAATTTTCAGATCTTTCAGCAAAAGTGTTCTTTCCATGTACATACATTCCATCAATTCTAAGATATTTTACATAAAATATAAAATACAAAATGGATTACCTGACAATAACGCATGTCTGCGTCCAATTTATATGCAAATTACATAATAAAAAATAATATTAAAATTAAATATTTAATCCGCACATAAAATATAAGTGTTCTCAAGCAACAGTTACGTTTTCTCTGACAATAAATTCATTCAAAAACTTCGAAAAAAACATATATAATTTTCGTAAATAATAAAAAAAAAACACAAGAGCAAGAAAGTTAATTAATAATTTAATATAGAAATTTTCTATATTTCCATCAATAAATGATGATTTCCTGTATATTGCTTCAAAAATTGAAAGGAAAATCGTCAAAGGTCTACAGAGATCATACTTTACTTTCATTTCTCAACATAGCCGATTATTTGGCACATAAGCCGCGATTGAGAGCAACTATTCAAAAAGTAACAATAAAACGGATTACATCGACTCGAATGCTTTAAAACCGTATTAACATTTTAGCTTCTACTAAATTTATATCCTTCGTGTGGGTGTGTATAAATTATATCAAGAGAAGTAGAAGCACACTCCCGTTGAAGTAAAAATCGTTAAAATTTCCACATATGTTAAATTTGTATGCAATCATCTCGACAAGTAAAAATTTCTAATTTCTTATTTTATAGAATAATAATAATAAAATTATAATTTTTTTTATAAAATATAATGTATAGCATGCTGGTTAATAAATTTCTTACGCTTTATACTTTCTGAATATAAATACTGCAGATTATATTAATCCTTAATCAATGATGCGCATCTTCGCAACGTTGCTCTGATACGGTATTATATTCTAATCACTGTGCGGAATATCAAAGTCTAGAAGAGTATCTTATTTTATATTATCATTATACAATAAAATCTACATTAAGCAGCGAGTTCGATCAATATCTCATAACAGCAATTTGACGAAAATTCTGCGTGTAGTATCGCCGATATACTTGGGTGCTTAAAAAATCAGGAATCTGATTCTATCAAAAACTGACGCAGTGCAACGAAAAATATTCTATATTACATATTTCTCTTTGTCTTAAGAAATGCCTTTCTTTTGTTAGGTGGACTACGATTAAATGCAATGATACAAAAAAATGTTACCAACCTGAGGAAACGAAGGAGCGAAAGGTGTCGCCGCGAAGGTGTCGGAAAAATCGTCGGCGTTGCGGAACAAGGAGCCTTTCGGCTTAGTCGCGCGTTCACTCCTTGCACGATAAGCGCACGATGAGCGCACGAGGAGTAAGATAGACTGCGCGTTTGTACGAGGATGCGTTATCGGAATTCCGCGTACGACCGAGATTGACGGAAACAGAGCGGCTCGATGGAATTTAAGGAGCGAAATCGCAAAGTGTCGCGATGAGCGCGAGATGGTGGACGAGAAACGCACGAGATGCGGCCTCGGAAGGAGATTAAGAATGCAGTAGAGGACGAAGGGGTTGACTCGCGAGAGATACCGTGTGACAGTGGCGAGAATCAGCCGGAGATCAGCCCTTAAATACGCGCCGTTCCAGCTGCCATGCGCGTTTCATGGGGCGCCAGAGAAATCATACGTCGACGCGTAACTCGCCCTCTCTCGCACACCCTACCGCACACCCTCGCACCCATCGACGAGTTATCGTCGCTACGCAACAGAGATGCGACGTACTTTTTTCATCTATGTTAAATAAAAATTTCAGCGTGCCAACTTACATAATACACACGATTCGGCTGCGTCGTAAGGGACATCGATTACGGTCAAACTTGTTGCGGAGCTAAAGGCAAATTGTATGAGACAGATAAAGAATCCTCCGTCAAACAAATTGACCTTTCTATGATAAATGCGTCAAATGTGACGCAATAAAAGGTGATTTAAATATATGTATAGTAATAAATAACAAATAAACAATAACAAGTAAAAGAGAAAAAAAGGAAATGTAACGACAGGAATGACATTAAAACTACAGTCAGTAGTCAAATGACATTAAAAGTCAGTTTTTTTTATAATTTTTGCAATGTTTATAAGTTCTATCTTATAAGTTTCATCTTTTTTAAAATATTTATTTTTAAGCTTGTTATCATAATGTAACATTTTAAATACGATCGATATATAAAAGATTACATTGGAAATTTATTCAATGATAGCTACCTGTTCTACGAACATTTAGTCGTATTATGCACTTTCTGCGAACGCGTATAAAAATAAATTGCATATGCACATTTACTACACAGTAGTAAATTATTTCGAAGTATACTCCAACGTGATTAGTTACTTATGCGTAGAATTTTTTGAGAATCATATAGAATATGCATATATCTGATATATGCAATAAAATCTTTGTACGTTGCAAAATTTTATTTATAATTAAATATCTTTTTATTTTAATTTTAAACGACATGTAAATTTTTACGCATTTAGACCTTATCATACTTGATAAGATCTTACTTAAGCTTTTCGAAGCGTTCGCAGTATTCATTTAATTTGATATTCAACAAGGTTGACAATTATTAATGATATCTGCTTTAAATGTAATAACGTAAATATTTATAATTCTTTGTTTCTGAAATTGCCTTGCAAATGACATACATACGCATTAAAAAAGCGGTTAAAGATTTAAAAAGCATCTTGTGTTCGTTACATCGACAATTAGTAAAAAATGCATAATTAACTCTTGGTCAAAAAATTAATCTGTTAATGTTAATTATCGGTCATTCAAGTAATCGCCCTTACTTATCGCACGCAAATAAATACAATACAATAAACTTTTTGAAAGAACATTAACAATTTTATTTAAAATAAAACTCGAGAGAAAAATAAGCTTTGCATCAATTTAATGCAATAAATGGTAAACGTAAGTAACTATTAATAGAAATTTCATTGACACGATTTTATTTCAGATTTGCGGAACTCGATGCTGAAAAGCGTCAGGTGCGATACGAAGCGAAGCGATTAGCGCCAAGTTCTCTATACTTCTAAAAGCGATCGATTCTCCCACGTAAACTCGAAATTTCTCCTTCGTCGTTGTGCCGTCTTAGCTGTATATCATTTAAATTGTCGATAATAGCGCCGAGGGATACAGTATTCAGCTCAGAATGCAATGATTAGTTTGTTGCATTAATAATCGTAAAATTTTCGTCTCAAAATTATTGATACAAAAAAAACTTTTAAGTAATTTTTACTCAAATAATAAAATTAAAATAAAATTAATATTTTTAAATTTAGAAATTTTTTTTTATAAATATTAAGAATAAATTTATATTGTTATGTTCTAAATTGACATTTAGAGTATTGCTTGTGTAATATATTTCAACTTTCGTTTTTTAAAATTATGTTCAAATATGCTGCTACTTTAAAAATTGACGATAAGTTATTGTCGATGAATTAGGTCTTGTACAAAAAGTTTATATACAATAACAAATAAACTGAAATGTGTGTGCATACGTGCGCGTGTGTGTGAAACGTAGTTGCTGGTAGTTGCGTAGTAGTAGGTACATTGGAAATTTGTATCTTTATCTAATATTAACATTGTATATAACTATTAAATTAATATATCTAGCTGTGTAAAATAAAAATCGACAAGTTATTTAGCTATTCAATAAAAAAAACCGGTCTCAACTATACCGTGCTCTATTTTTTACACCGGTTTATATTCAAATATTTATTGTGGTTCAGAATTGTTCGGCTATTGCTTCGCATTCTACCTAAACAGCGGTCTTTCAGCTGAAATTTTCAAAAGGGAGCAAGTACAGCTGCAAATAACAATAGTTAAATTATGTGCGTCAAGCTATTTTTGTATTGGTCGTAATTTATTAAATATTTGTGACACCCATCTTAATCACTGATATATTCGATTTCTCTTACTTTACTTACTATTAAATTATTAAAAATCTAACGTCAATAAAAAATAAAAAAATATTTAATACAAAAAAACTTGGCGCGCTTCTACCTCAAAATAATCTAGAACTATAAAAATAAGTAATAATATAATTTAATATTATGTACATAATTATAATATTATACAATGTAATGTACATAATTATTATACAATGTATTCTATTTTTAAATTACAATGTATTGTAATTTATATTTTTATCTAATATTAGATAAAAATACAAATTTCCGATGTATCCACTACTACGCAACTACTAGCAACTACGTTTCATAAACACAATACAAGACTTAATGCATCGACAATAACTTATCGTCAATTTTGAAAATAGCAGCATATTTGAACATAATGCTAAAAAACAAACGTTAAAATATATTTGTGAAATATTTGTTTAATTATCTCAAGGCTGTTTCTAAGATAACTTCAAAAAATAGAATTCCTTATCTCTTAAATTACTTCAAATAGGTGATATAAGACATTTCAATAATTGCGAACAATTTTAATAATTGCAATAATTGCAATAATTGCAATAATTGCAACAATTGCAATAATTGCATCATTTTCAGAATGTTATCATGCGTACTTTTAGAAGTACAAAACAATGTACAGTCCTACATCTGATATACATTAACTGATCGTATTTCGTGTTACGCATGCAGAAAAAATAAACTGTTAAAATTGTATTATATATATACAATTTGTTAAATTTAAAGTAAAGTTAGTTTTACTATTAATTAAATTATTTTCAATCTCATCTCTTAACAGAATTTGGATAAGTTTTTAACTTGCCGATCACGTAAAGAAAACTAAGTCACAATTCGATTTCACGGAAAATTGAGTTCACGTCTCATGTAGGACGATTCCACCGCAACTCATTTTGCAACTTTATACTCCTATAAGTACAATTTGCATTTTTGTCACTTACGTCACGCTTGTGTTGGGCTGCATTATACATGATATAATTTTTATTACAATTATCAAATCAAATAAGATAGCTATGTCAGCCTAGAGCAAGAGATGTTGGGTGCTCAAAGATTAATTAAACAAGTTATAATATCAAACGTTTCGGCACATTTATTATGGCCATCCTCAGTAAAAGTATAATAACGGCAAGCGCGCCTTACAAAAAGAAATAAATTAAAGATAACAACAAGTATACGCCGCAAGATTAACGCATGTCGGTTAAAGATTTCAACCGTTTAACATAAGTATTACATATGCTTAGAATGATTCTCGAGGTTATAAATTATAAAAAATCCTTACGTGAGATGTCAGCAATATAAAGTAGTAAAAATGATATTTCATTATTATGGCCATCCTCAGTCATTTCATTTTTACTATTTTATATCGCTGACATCTCAAGTAAGGATTTTTATCATTTATAGCCTCGAGTATCATTCTAAGCATATGGATACTTATGTTAAACGGTTGAAATCTTTAACCGCGTGTTTGTAAGGCGTGCTTGCCGTTATTATACTTTCACTGAGGATGGCCATAATAAATGTGCCGAAACGTTTGATATTATAACTTGTTTAATTAATCTTTGAGCACCCAACATCTCTTGCTCTGGGCTGACATAGCTATCTTATTTGATTTGATAATTGATTTATTAAGAAGGCCCAAAAAACATTTCTTTTTTTAATAATTTTTATTACGTTCAATTTACATGTACTAATCATATTAATCTTTTGCCGCCCAAAAGAAATTTCGTTCATGTCACTTTGACGTTGTGCAATAATCATATTAATAAACAAAGTTTTTTTAGCATAAATATAATGAATATCATGAATTCTTTTATTAATAATTTTCATTGTAATATGAATATGATGAAGAAAGCATTGGGATAAAAGAGTAATATGATCTCCGACGTTTATGTACTACTGTCAAATATAAATAAACAAATGAATTTATATGACATCTGTAAACAGCTGTAATATCATGTTGAATAAAGCTTGCGCATTGCTTTTCGCAATATGCAAGAAAAATATTTCACGAAAGGCAAAACAGCACAAAAGAAAACAATTGGAGCAACACAATAGAATTTACAAACGTTTTCACTTATACACCTGATCAAAAAACTGTTGGATGCTTTTCCTTGCGTCGACATATATATAGAGAATATTTGTAATGCGTAGTTTATATGAATTTTTTTAGTAGTACATAAAAAACTACGAAAATACGTTCTAATGTTTGCTTATCACCATTGTTATATATGCGTGCATGTGCATTTTTATGCACCTTCACATATCTTGTTCCGATTTCGCGGTCATCGCGACACGCATTTTCTCTTTTGCGCGACCTCTGTCGTGTTCGAAAATAGATAATATGTTTATTTATTAACATGTTTATTTATAGACACATGTACATTACTAATGAAAAACATTATCAATATATATCGTTGTATCTACATAAATACATATAATTAAAAATTGAGATACATACATATAATTAAAAAAAAAAACAAGATACGACTTATAAGCCAAATAAATAGAAGATGTACCGTTTTCGGCAAATTTTGATAGATTTTCTTTTGGTACTTGACATAAATTTTTGATAAAAATTTAATTAACTTGCCATTTTTTTTATTGCTCGGGGATTGATGATTTATATGTGCATCGTGTCA